CGGGGAATTAAACATGGCACAATGGGGCTATACGAGGTGGACACAAAAAGCTAAACAAGGGCCTAATGCCTCGCGGGGATCCCCATCCTCGTTCGAGCCGAGGATGGTACACGGGTTGAGGATGGGGCGTATCTACCAAGGGCGGAGGAGGGGGCGGGATGGCCATCCCGTCCCCGACCCCGCCCCATTGCCATCTTTACTTCCATCATTTTTCAAACTATCACCACCGTGACTCGAGCTCGACAAAAATTGGCAAAAAAAAAAAAAAAAATTGTTCATCTTTGAAAATTTCATTTGAGTATTTCATCATGCCGGATCAACTAATTAAATCACACAAATTATATACTAGTTGACAATGACATCAATATATATAGGTCTTGGAGTCTTGAATTTAATGAGAGGTTTTAATACTATATATGTTTTATTGACTTCAACTTAATAATTTGATAAATTTTAATGTAATTTAATTATTTTTAAATTCTAATACTATATATATTTTATTGACTTCTTTTAAAGTTCTTTTTTTTTTTTTAGAGTTTTGATAATCAAAATGAAGTACCATAGTTTAGGAGTGATTTTAAATAGTTTTATTTTGTACGATTTTATGTAGCGTATAAATAAAAAAGTAAGTAAAAAACAAGATTAGCCTACATTTTAAGATTTTATTTATATAAAAAATATAATTTTTAGAGATTAATTATTTTTTATTGATTATTAGTATTAGTAGTAATTATAAAATTTGTGTTGTATTATAATAAATCAAAAAGTTTTAAGAATATCATGTTTTTATATATGGTTATGGATTATGAATTGTCATAACCCAAAATTTTCTTTTTTTAATCCCTTTTTGTTGTCTTTTATTTGTCTTGTCTCTTATTTTATTCTGATTTTATTTATTTTGGAATCTACTATAAAAAAAAATAATAAAAAAAAATTGGAAAAGAAAGAATAAAAAATACAAAAAAAAAATCTAAAAATTGCATGGCATAATTAATTAGGGGTATAATTGAATAAAATCAAGACTGAAATTGAAACAATTAAGGATACAATTAAAATAATTAATCGTTCTATAACTGAAATTAAAAGATGCAGGGGTCCAATTGAAATAAACAGAGACCAAAATTGTATATATAAAGGGTGTAATTGCAGTCAATTAAAAGGTACGAGGACTAAATTGAAACTGAAGAGCGAATGACAGAACCAAAATCAAGCGAGCGACGTGTCGTTTTCTTCAACCCAGAATCAATTCTCAAGTCTGTTTATCGTCTTCCTTGGAGACAAAATTCTCCAAAATTTCGCTCGTTCTGAGATTCTTGGCTGGCAATTATACCAGCCAAGAATCACGCTGCACACCACTCACCAGCACCCCCTGCACCACTACACCACCACTACAATGCATACACTGCATCCATTGTAAAGAGCCAAGAACACCAGAAGCATGTTCTTTGGCTTTAGCAATTAATGGTTTCGATCGACTGAAGATCGATCCTAGGGTGGAAATTAGTTCGAATTCGGCAATAAATGGGGTCAATCGGAAGAGTTGAGGAGAGAGGTGGAGAGAAGAGAAAGAGAGGAGCTTTTGGGTTCTTGAATTTCTAGGTTTCTGTCAAAAGGGAAATAATAATTTTCAATCCCAGAAGGAAATTCTGAGTTTAGGAGAAACAATCCCTGCTCCTGAATAGGGATTCTAGGTAGATTGCTCAAGGGAAAAAGAGAAAAACAACAATAAAAGGGAGAGAAGATTTCGGGTTTGTGTTTGGCCTCCTGGAATTTTTGGCATTTTTCCTGGGTTTCCAAACTCAATCCTGGGCATTCAACACCAATAATAAGCTTCCTAGTTTCCAATTAACCACCCAGAAACCTCATCATCATCAATTAAACCTGCAAACAATATCTATTCCTTTCAGGCACCCAGGTGAGTTTTTCTTGTTTAGTTTCATTTTCGATCGTTGTTTTTTTCATTCATTTCTCTGTTATTGGAGTTTTGAATTCTAAGTTCAACATGAAGATTAGGATTAGGGAAGCGCCAGTTAGTTTTTTGCAGTGAGCCTAGGCTCTAAGTTCTGTTAAGTTCTGTTACTGGTGTTCCTGTAAGAGAGAAGGAGAAGGGAGAAAGAAAGAAAGGAGAGGGAAAGCAAGAAAAAAGAAAAGGAGAGATTAGGCCAGAGAAAGAGAAGGGGCCAAATAGGGCAGGATTGGGCCTAGACCAGTCCGAAAAAAAGGAAGGTGAATGGGCTAGGTCCAGCCCAGTCCATAAAAAAGAAAAGAGAGATCCAAGGGAGCTCAATCCAGCCCATTGGGCACAATGCCCTATTTTTAGTATTTTTCCTTGATAAATCAGTCCTGAATTTTTCTTAAATGCATACCTTTCATTTTATGCCTAATTTAGATTTAATATTTTAAAATTTTTAGTTCTTATATTTATTTATTTAGTCAATGATTAGGTTTTTTTAGGTTTTAGTTCAATAATTAGATTAGATAATAAATAGATGGATAAATCGTCCAATAATTTAATTTTTAAGTACTAATGACAATTCCACACCAACAACAAAAAAATTTATAAAGACAAAAAAAAAAAATAAAAAATAAAAAAAGAAAAATAATTAGATAAAATAAAATAAAAAAGGAAGAAAATAAAAAAAAATGTTAAAAAAAGGAAGAAGAACAAAAAAGGAGAGAGAGAGAGAGAGAGAGAGAGAGAAAATGCTAGGTGAAAGATAAAAAAAACAAAGAAGCAAAAATATAAAAAGTACTATGGGAAAAATTAATGAAATCTCCTATTAAATAAGGTTTGATATTAATTTAAATCAATCACATTTTAATAGTTAGATCATTCTTTGACATACCGAGTTATGTCGAGACTTAAACTCGGATCCGATGTTGAATTGACGGAAAGTCCGATGGAGGGTCCGACGATTAGTTCCATATGATACCACAAACAAAAATAAAAAAATTAATTAGCTTAGGAAATAAAACTTGAAATTTTGACTTAGAATGAATTTTGACAAAAATTAAAAGTTTTAAGAGATAAATTTTAAGATTAAGTTAGACATGATATATTTTTTAAGAAATGATGCTTTTTGGATGATTGATATCTTTCCAAAAATATAACAAACTCTTTATATTAAAATCTTTGAAACTTTGTCCATTGTAGATTTCTAATTTCTTTTAATACAAATTGACGAGTTCGAAATTAATAATAACTCATATCTTTAAATAAATAAAATTTTTAATAAAATAAATAATAAAATTTTGAAAGTTTTTGCGAACATTGAACAGGGACATGAATAATTAATAGTTGGAGAAAATAAATTATGAAAAGAAGAGTTCGAGGGAGTGATTATTTTTGGTCAGTACAAATGAGCGACACAAAAGGAGCAATCAACGGGGTCCAAAATTTTTTAGATTTTCCTCTGAACGCCTTAAGTCAAAACCTGAGAAGAGAGAAGTGGATTTCAGGGACAGAAGACTATACTGCCACTCAATGGCTAAAAATAAATAACAATCAAGCTGATCTTGTCGCGATGAAAACCAAATCGTGGTGTTGAATGTATGGAAGTTGTAGACATCCACAGTTCCTAAATGAGGATATTCACTTGTTGTGGCAGCGTCTCTTACCATTAAAATATTTAAAGCCAGTTTATTTTTTCTTTTGATCTCTAACAACATTTTGTATCTTTTAGGTATGATTTGGTGGTGATTGAGTTGTTCCATGCTCCCTTCAGAAATTCTAATTCAAAGAAAAGCCAACAGATAAACAAAAAATGTGATTGTTAATAGTTATGGTCGGTGGAAGGGCAGACTCGGATCCAAAAAGGGCAAGGTCGTTAGAAAAAGAGTGAAATTCTTTGAGTTCTTAATTAGAAGCAAATCTCAAATTTGAACCAGACACGATTTTGATTTGGATATACGTTGACTGAGACCTAAGCTTGCTTTCATCCCCGTGGGCCGTCGCATTGATTATAGAATAAGGCAAGGGCCTTTTTGATCCATAATTTCAGTCAGAAGCATAAAAAAAGATGATTTAAGTTCATGTGTTTAGGGTTGTGATTTATATACGGGCTGCTATGCGTAAAATTGTTGGGCCGAAGACTCGGGGCATTCCTGGTCTCAAATCTCAAATTCAATTATCTAAGGCATTTTATAGAAAACTGACGCTGGATGCATTGCTTCTCACTTTTACATGGTGAAAGTGCCTGATCTGCTATCATTGTGAGGGCACAATATGATCTGTTTTTCTTTGGCTAATCTGGGAATTTCATGCTACAACCTTTTAGAACTCCAAACAAGACCTTGTAGTTTATAAGAAGAGAGTATGAGTTTTGATTTGAACCAAATCATCTGCTTCTTTCATTTCTATTTCATTTATCCGAAACATCAATCAGCTACGTGTAAGTTATTCAATTAGACTTGGGCTGAATCCTTCTTGATGAGGTTGTAAAATTCAAAAGAATGATATGGCTTTTTTTATAGTTGGTGCGTGGTGGTGCTTGCTACTTGACGACAGTTGCGATGACTAAGATAGTAGCAAAATAAGTCTTTTTATTCAAGTAGAGAATCCTTTGATGATTAAGTCTGTATATAAAAAGAAATATTAATCTGAAAAGATTATAATTAAAGTATGAAAAAAAATGATAAATAGCAGCATTTAGAAGGAAGAGTACATAATCCTTATATAATTTTGAGGCTTGTCAGATGGCATTGAGAAAGAGTACAAAATAAGTCTATTTTTTTTTTTTTTTAACTATCAACAACTTTTGATTCTGATTGGAATGTGAGTCACTATAAAATAAAAATAATAATGTCATTATTGTTATTGATGGGACAAAAATAATTTTTGAGATAGATGTGTTTTTATTTAATAAATGTAATATTTATCCATTTAGTAGTAGTAGTTGTTGTAAATCCCTCGATCAATAGTGGGATAAAAGCTTCAGATCGCCTTTCTAGGGACTGGCTGGATGAGCTTCATTCATTCTTAGTCACAATTCTTCCACGTGTCACTCGTGGATAGAATTTGATATATGCATATTGCCTCTCCTCATCCTTTCACCGTGGAGGCTAAGTGCTTTCTTTCCTTTCCCACATCTGTAACGCTCGTTGATCAAAAGGTTAATGAGTTGTGGAATCAAGACCAACTCTTTTATCATGCCATCAACTTCATATATCATGTATCTTACCTTCCATAAACAATGCATGAATCGACAAACAGTAAGAGGACACATATTGCATTGTCATAATAATAATAATAATAATTGTATTATCCATTAAATTTTATCTTATCATCTCATTGTACTAGTCATCAAACTTCATCTTATCATCTCATTATTGGATATTATTGAATCTTTTTAATTTCAAAAGGTACTTTAAAAAGTGATATTTTTCCTCACACTTATAACTAAACATCTAAATCAATCCACAATCAATATAAAATAACATAATAATCTCTTTTTTTACCCATGAAGTCTTAAATTAGTTATTTTAACTTGAGTTTGGTTACTAACATTATTGACTGTTATTGAGTCTTTTTTAACTATACAAGTTAGTTTAAAGAAAAATGTTTTTCCTTATAGTCATAATCAAGCATTGGGTTCTTTTCACAACTAACATAAGATAGCACAACACTCATTCCTACGGCCAAAAGCCGCTTACGAATTCCCTTTATTTCAGTACCCATTAATCAAATTGTTGCAAGTCCAGATAGATGGATGCAATCGGATTTCTTTTATTTTCTCACGCATCCAGATGCCTCTCAAGCCTTCATTACATATCCCACTATAATATTATTTTATTATTATTATTAGTACAGGGGATCGGATATTTGGAGTGACCTAAACCTAATCTATTACTCTTTGAATTAGATCAACTTAAAAATATATCTATTTTTTTTTATTGATTATTAGACTGTCTTTTAAATAAAACCAACACAAATATGGTATTATTAAAAAAATTTATGAATAGATATCTCGACTCTCTCTAAGATGAGAAGCCAATTCTCTCTAAGCTAGCACGACCAATGGATTCGGTGATGGCCATAGCCGTGTAACTTACCACCATTTGACTCAACCAAGTCAAGGTACATCTCAGCCATCTTGAAACTAACCATCCGTCCATAACTCATCCCAACCAAAGCACACTTCTCTATACCAAGCTTCCTTAAACCCTTAGCAATGCACTCACCTTGGAAAGCCTATTCGGTCAGTTTTATCCGTAGTTGACTCTCCAAAGAAGAGTAAATCGGGCACGTAAATTGCGTACTCTCTGGCCAAAGCTAGCACTTGAAATTGCCATGTTAGAATCCCACCTAGTTCAAAACCATGAAGAAACACCACTGCAGGTTTATTTGGTTTGTTCTTGGTGTTGCTAGTGGTTTGATCATCACTTGGGACCCAAAAGCGCAGTACGGTCCCTGGCTCAATCTCTACTGCTTGAGGTCTCACTCCGAGTAGCTTCATTAGGCCACGCGACAATGGCATGTTCATTGTCAAAACGTTCACCATCTTTTTTTTTTTTTCCATCTAAAAGCTACCAGGGTGTGTACGTAATTAGCTAGCCAGGCTTTTTGTATGCCAATTGAGAAATGATTGGAAGTAGCTGCAGAATTTGTGGTGGAATAGAGGTGTGATTTATAGCCATTGCCTTAATAATTCTTCAATATATCAGTATGCATATCTCGCATGTTATGTGTTTCCAACATTCTTGGTCACGTGCTAACCGATCGAATTATGCAGCAATTCCTGCTGACAGAGAAAATTTTATTTTGTATTTCAACTGTTAGGTCACAAATTGCTTTCAAATTCTATATAATTTGTCATTTTTGCCCCCCAAACACGTGATCCGACACATTAGAAAACAACACACCCAGTATGCATAAAAGAATTTAAACAAATTATTTCGCATTGCTTTCCTAATCCAATTTAACAATGTTTCATTTGCGTAATACTTAAGTACTAGTCTAGTGCTGGGGATCGATGTGTCATGAACTGATTCTGATAATTGGTTTCCCGTGTCGTGGAAGATCAGCTTTGATATAGCGAACGGTAAAATTAATAGTAATTATAATTTAAAAAAGTTAAGTATATATTTAGGACTTAAGTATTAGTTTTTCAATTATTTTTACATAATTAATAGTTATTGCGTTAAATTTTTTTCTTTCTTAATATTCTTTAAAATTAGAGATGACAATAGATCGAATTGGAGTTGAATCTTGCTACTTCCACCTTCAAATCTAAATATCCAAATCTATCACTAGCTTCTAGCTCCAACCTAGTTGGATTGAATTAGGTAGAATATTCTATCCATATGGCAAGTAATCGAACTGGGTTTTATTTTTTTTAAATCAATTTTATAAAAATAAAATATAATTTTTAAAAACAAACTACATCATCATATATAAATCATAAAGCCATAAAATATAATATAAACTTCAAATCATTGCATGAAATCACAAAAATCTTTCATGAATCATAAGATAAAAAATCATGCATTATATTTTAAAATTGCAACTTTGTAAATAAATAAAAATAAATAAAAAACCGAATTAGGGACGGGTCGAATCGGGTGCCGGAACAGGTGAGGGATTCGATGATATTGGGTATCCGATGGATTGAGTGAAATTATATATCATCCGTATTCACGAGTACGTTGTAGCTAAATTTTTCTTTTTACATATCGAAATATACAAATAGAAAAAAATCCACATACCTTTACATCATCGGATATTGAAATATTTTTCACATTTTTGTAAATAATGGCTTGATTGAAACATTATGGGGTGTAAAAAAAATTTAATCCAATTTATGTACTATACATAAATTTTTTAATAACTTAAAGGCTCTAAAGATTGGTTGACTTGGTATTTGATACATTTTCATTGTTTTTTTCCTTGGTTTACACTTAACAAAAAATATATAATTTACGTCCCAATATAAAGCTTATAAACAATCTTTCATTTCTTTTTAAGCAAAAATAACTAATAACGAACACATGGGAAGAATTTCTTACACGAAGGTTTTGGTTGAAAAAAAAATCCATTAATTTCTCTCCACTAAGACCAAAATAATACATTCTTTCCATTTAATGAAAAAATAAATACATATGTTGTTAGAATATTAAAATATTATGTACACATGACAATCATTTAGTTGACATAAAAAAAATATATATATATATATTACATCCCCATTGCTCTTGACAATCTAACATAACTCCTTAGTTACTTCTTTCAATTTTGGTATATACTAAACAGATTTCCGAAGCATTGCGTTAGCAACCTAAAAATTAACTTTTATATAATTAAAAACATATAGATTTAAACTACAATACAATAACTCATTGATAAACAAGTATCGATTTATAAATTAGATTTAGGATTTGATCCTTATGGTTGATATTATCATTGTGGCTAGTACTCTTTCAAATTTATTCTCGGAATATCTAAGACCGTGTATTGGGAAGTACTCCTTAGCTGTGTCCAAGAAATAATTAATCTCGAAGTGTGTAATAACCCAAATTTTTCTTATTTTTATTTCTATATATATATATATATATTTATATTTATTTTATTTATTTATTTTGTTTTTTAATTCGAAGTTTACTAAAAAACAAAAAGAAAGAAAATGATGAAAAATACAAAAAAAAATTCATTTAGGGACACAATTGAAGTAATTAGGGGTGTAATCGAGTCAATTAAAAAGTTTAGGCTTTAAATTGCACCTCCGGGGACGTAATTGATGAGATTGTGCTGAAATTATACCATCGAAGGGTGTAATTATGAAAATTGAAATGCGAGGACCAAACTAAAAGTTTGGAGCGAACAACGGGACCAAAATGGAGAAGACAACATGTCGTCCACTCCAAGGTAGATTCTCTCCGAAAATCTCCGGGAGAATCTACCCAAATCCTCCATGAATTTCTTGTTTTTGATTGTGTATTAATAATGAATTTTGTTGTCAAAACCAACACTAACGGGAATCAATGAGAATTTCCTGTTTTGATTTCATAATTAATCATGAATTAAAGAGGAAAAATTTTGATAGAAAATTCAGGGATTTAGATTCGATTTTAGGAAATTTTTTGGCTATAAAATGAGTCGAATTTCAAGAAAAAGGGGGAAGATCGGAGCGTGAAATTCGGTTAAAAGTGAGTAAAAATCAAAAGCAAAAGAGTTGATATTTTGATTTTTAGCTACCGCATTTTTGGGTTTTTTGGGTTGGTGTTCTTGGTATTCGGGTTTAGCTCATCATCAATCGGTTTCCTTTAATCCTTTTTGGGGTTCTTTTCGGAGTAAATTTTCTCTCCTTGAGTGTTTTCTCAATCCAATTTCCTGAATTAGGAACCTCGTTTTTCATAATTTTGGGTTTTCCTTTTTGAAGTTACGGGCAACCGCTTGAACTTCTTCATACACCTAAGTTAGTGTTCTTCATTCTAGGTTTACGTTCTTTATCTTAGGTCGATTGAAAAGGATTATTCGGGGCTGTTTTGAGGGATATCATTATTCTTTTGAGTATTAAACAAGAAATCGAGGGCCAACAATCGAAAAAAACGAACGAAATCTTCGTTTTGAGTATGTTAGTTCCTCTCGTTCTTCCGGGTTCGCTTGGTGTTCTTCAATCACGTTTTTCGGGTAAGCTTCCCGTTGTTTGATCATTCCCGGCTAGTTTTTTTATAAGTTCGTTATTGTTAGTTGTTTATCTCGTATTTCGTTTGCGATTTGGTTTGTTAGTTTGCATAATTGAGTCTTTTGATTTCTTGAAAAAATTTAAAACACTAAGAGGAAGTTAGAACACGAAGAACAAGAGGGAGAATGGCTAAGGACTCGTGTTTGATCGGATTTTTTTAGAATTTTAACTTCGGATCTGTTTTTGGGCTTGAGCCCGGTCGGGGAATTAAGAGAGTGTGGGTTGGACCGATTGCGGCCTGACCCAAACCAAGGCGAAAAAAAAAAAAAGAAAAAGGGGCTGGGCGACGCGCCTTTATGCCCCCCGCCCCCCCCCAAAAAAAAAAAATAGAGGGTCGGGTTGGATTTGTCTTTAACCCAAAAAAAATAAAAAAATAAGGAAAATTAAAAAAATAAAAATAAAAATAGAGTTAAGGAAGAAAAAAAAGGAAAAATGGGGATGGGTAAAAAAAAAAAAAGTAAGAGTTGTGGGTTAATATTTTAGGGATAGGATAATTTTTTTATATATATAACTTTTATTATTCATTTATTTTTTAACCTCGTTTATATAGGATGATTTTTTTATATTTTTTTCTTTTATTATTTATTTAATTTTTTTTAGCCTCGTTTATTTTTATTTCTTGTCGTTTTTAGGTATTAATTTAGATTTGTTATTTTAATGTTATTTATTTATTTTCTTTTCTTTTCTTTTCTTTAACATGTAGTGCTAGAAAAAAAATGCGGACGAAGTCTCCTATCCGATAGGGACCGACGTCATAAAAAAATGCCTAGAAATTTGGGTGAAGCCTCCTACTTGGTAGGGATCAACGCAACAAAAAAAATGTAATAAATAAATTCGACGAAGTCTCCTATTTGATAGGGACCGACGTCATCAAAAATCAATTTTTAATTAAAACGTCCTCCAACATGCCGCTTGTATCAAGGCTTTTAGTGGATCCGATGTTTGAATCGACGTGTCACTTGACGAAAGGGACCGACGATCGTTTCAATATGATGCTACGCCCAAAACTAAAAAATTCACTTAGTCTAAAAGGAAAATAGGAGATTAAAATTTTAAAAAATAGCTTGACATGGATTTTAGGAGATAATTTATAACTAAACCGTACATGGTACCTTTTTTTCGAAAAGGACGCTTTTAGATGATTAAATATCTTCCTAAAAGCGTAATCAACTCTTTATTTTAGGAATCTCCGAACCGAGTGCTACTTTTAGGTTCCTAGTTCCTTAAATACTAGGCGACGACTCCAAAACTCTGTAAATAATTTTATAAATAATTAACACTCAGATTTTTAATTTTCTTTGGGGGTCCCGTTCGACGTCATGTAGCGACAAAGTGCACGAAGTCGGTTCGGACACACCTTTATTGCTGAAAAACATATAAATTTAATTCAACACAATAAAATATGAAAATGAATTAAAAATACTATTTGTAATAAAAAAGAAACATTTATAAATTATCAAAAGAAAAAATTAAATTAAATTTAGTATTAAATAAAATTTATAAAAAGATAAAGGGAAATAGATAGAAATACAAGCAATAAGCAGATGTATATAAACAGTGACCAATTTGTGTTTCGTAATATTAAAGTTTTATTAAATTTGTTATAAGAATTTATGTTTAAATAATATATGATATTGTGCAATTAATTTAATTCATAATGAAATACTAATTTAATTATAACAAAAGTAAAATGTTAAAGAGTTCATATTCCAATAGTAATGATTTTTTACAAAAAAAAAAATCAAATATTTAAATTTTAACATATTAGTTTTATTAATAACTTGAGTATGTGAGTTATATATCATAACAACACTAAAATC